TCTGCATGTATGTCTGCATGAATGAGTGTACGATTGTGACTCGTATGTAAGCATGTATGTATGTCTGTATGTATTTGTGTATGTATGTATGTATGTATGTATGTATGTATGTATGTATGTATGTATGTATTATGTGTACGTGTATGTGTATGTGTATGTGTATGTGTATGTGTATGTGTATGTGTATGAATGTAGGTGTAGGTGTATGTGTATGTGTATGTAAATGTAAATGTATATGTAGATGTATACGTATATGCATATTTTCTCATACTTATATAATATACATAAAGGCTGTGTGTACATACATACATATTTGTATATAAACGCATACATGCACGCAGAGTTCACGTTCAGTCATATAAAGCGTGTACAGTACAAAATAGTAAGGTGCCCTGCTAGGTGATCGGAACAAAGGGTCGCATCACACTGGACAACTGGGCAATGCATCCGTCCCGCATCACCATCCAGCTAACGACCGAGTGACTTGGCCAATAGAGCATGACACCTTTCCTCGTCCAACTTCTGAGAACCTCAGGCAGTGCTGGGATGAGCCGCAAGGCCACACGTCCACATCACAGAACGGCGTCAGGCACCGACCGGTGCAAGATTGAGAGGTCTGAGGTTTCAGATCGTGGTTCTTCAAGGGTTTAGGGTGTTCCGAGCACCCCTCCATTGGTTGCGCAGGCTCCTGCAGGGATGGATGCTGATGGACAGGAGCTACGTACACCGTCATGATAGGAGTTTTCGGATGCTGGTGTTCTGTCTCTGCCAGTCCATGAGCTGACCCTAAACCCTAAACTTTAGACGGATGCAATGTCTTCGTTTTCAATTGCTCACGATGCCAGGCCGCATGTGGAGCAGGTGACGTATCCTGTCCCAGAGCCAGCGCCCGGCTGCAAGTTTCGACAGTAATCGTAATATGGAAGCCTGAACAATTACCCATATTTTTCCTTAGGGCTCAAATCGCCGGGCAGACCGGAACATTGCAGCCCCAGTGTGACTGTGTCACACGTACTGTGCCCAGCTGCCGCCATGAGTCGCTTCTTGCGCTCTCCGGGCTGGCATAGGTGTCTTTGAGTACGCCGTTCCAAGGCACGACACCAATTGAGGGTCGGAGGTCAGCTGTCTGCGAGACGGCGGTTCCTTCTCCTGTCGCACCACGCGACAGACCCACTGTTCCGAGAAAGGTTGCAGATGAGACGGGGCAAGAAATGGTCCGAAGACTGGGCAGGGTCTTCTGCAGCATCGGGTCAGCAGCTTTGGCGTGGATCTTGGTCAGTTTCGCCGAAGGCTGCCATGGAGACCGCAACATGGGCAGCACACAGACATTCGTTCCGGGATACACCTGACGCCAGCTGTCGCACGAGCAGATCGAGCGGACGACACCTGCTGCAGCCACTGCGGCGTGTGAAAAAGCTGTGTCAGGATCGGGACCGCAGTGCCCAGCAATGAATGGCTTGGCGCAGGAGGTGAAGAAGAAGCGGGTGCAAGCAAAGACCAGGCATGCCAAGAGACCGGGCCGGGGAGGTCTCAGATGCCTGGCAGGCGCAGGAAGGCGCACGCAACTCGTTGCAGAATGTGGTTTTGACTGCGGCGGCCATGGGGACAACCGAACCAGAGCCGGCCGGCAAGGACGAGTGGGATGCTATGGTCCAGGAATAGGAGGAGGCCTCGGATCAAGAGTTGGTCCCAAGAAAATGGCAGCCTTGATTTCACTAGTCGGTCCCGGCTCACGAGACGCGCGGCGTGAAGCGTTTTCCACCGCTGGAGGCAAGTTAGCAGTACTGCGTGAGCATGGGCCAGGCCTCGGCTCCATGCGGTAGCGCACGACCGTGGTCTTGGATCAGTCCTGTCTTTTGATGGATCCATGGCGGCCGAGGTCGAAGGCAGCTTCAGGTCGCACAGATGTGTTTTCAGGACGGAAAGCGCGATGAATTCTCTTCTTCAAGGATTGGTCTGCAGCGTCGTATGAGGCTTTTTCGGACGCATGTTCTGTCCGCCCTGCCGGTAGCGGCGCTTGGCCAATTTTTTGTACAAAAGGCTGGAGCATGCTGGAGCTGCTGGAGTCAGGGTTCTTCAAGATGATCAGGCAAATGCTTCGGATTCGGTCGTATGAGAGGGTTCTGGCTGCAGCAACGATGCCCACTTTTAAGCGGGCTCCTTGCGATCAAGAGACTCCGCTTCCTGGCACCACTTGAAAGGAGGGCCCCGACGCAGCTTTTGCGCTGCTGCAGCAGGCCCCCCACCAACAGGCAGGATGCTGCCGATTGCGGCACCGGAGCCGGCCACGGAACAAGACGTGGGCGAAACTCAGACGCCTCCTGCTTGCCGGTCCGGGGAGCATCGGAAATCGTTTGTGACACCATAAGTCCACCTGCAAACTTAATCTAGCGGCGGCAGCAATGTCCTGCAACCTCCCGGATGGTAGCTCTGCTATCCAACGCTCAACCGTTTGCTGTAGGACTGGTAACGGCTCAACGAATCCAATCACAGCCTGGAAAAGACTCTTCGTCCTCCGAAACCACTGACCACAACTGCTTCAGCCACGCATGACACACAGTTTGGCCTTCAGGCTGCAAATGCGCAAAACCAACCCCAGCAATTGCTACACCCTGCGCATGCCTGGCCTTGTTGTGCACGACGGGAAAAAGCCACGCACCGTCCTCCTCGATAGGTTTGGCAGCATTTAACGGAAACCGCCGGCGATAATGTGCCAGGAGGCAGAACTGCGTGGCGCAATGCAACCAAACCTCCGCCTGCCTGAAAGCCTGAAGGAATTGCGGTTGCAGCAGCAACACTGAGGTCGCACACGAGATAGGGATGATGTCTGGAGGTGTGGTTTTGCTGATGCGGTTCCTCCACCAGGACCGTGCGATATTTTCCAAGGTCCTTGATGTATATCAGCTTTGGCTGCAACGTGCATGTGGCTGGATTTCCCATGCAGGCAAGGCATTCCGTGAAACTTGGATCTAGCATTTACCTAGGGCGACGTGCGGTGTGCTCGCTGACTGGCTTGAAGAAACGAGCTCGTCATCGCCGATGCCACCCCCACTCACATGGCGTTTCACTGTGTTAATTCATTTAGCATCTGGTACGTCCTCGGAGGATGTAGCACCATCGGAAAGAAAGAAAGACTATTTTTCCGTAGGGTTCTTTAGTATAGTTATACTATATAGGAGCCCAACGCCCGATTCCAATTATTCAGGCCCCTGCATTACAAACAGTGGGAGAGTTTGGAGAAAGTACAGGGAGGGACCCGAATATGCCCGAGTAGCAAAGACCACGAACAGCAGGAGACTACTCCCCCCCTTACAGCAACGTCAGGGTCCCCTTGTAGTATTCTAACAATAGCACCCTTCCAGAGGCCGTGCGAGAGAGAGGTTGAAACCAAAATTAATGCAGACCCCTGATCACCACACCCGTTGCCTGAAAAGGGATTGTAACAGAGATCATAATTATTGGGAATCAACACTTTCAACCCCCAAACCCCCAGTTGAGTCCCTCTCAACCACACGAGCCGCTGCATACAGCCCACCCCTAAACCCTAAACGCCACAAACCCTAGGCCCTAAACCCCTGAAGAGAACTGCTTTCTTGCATTGAACCCGAGGCTGGCTTGCCTGCAGCTGGTTGGAACTATGTAAACCAGCACGGCTTCTTGTACCAGGCGTGATTCAGAAGGGGATTAAGGTGTGGGGGTACACTCACAAGCATCTATTTGCCTAACTTATCTACTTACCTACCTCCCTATTTACTTATCTGTCTACCTACCTATCTATTTATGTACCTGTTTATTTAGTTAACTAGCTAGCTAGCTAGCTAGCTGGCTAGCTATCTGGCCAACTATCTATCTATCTATCTGTCTATCTATCTATCTATCTATCTATCTATAGGGGCTAGGAGAGATCTGCTGACAGCTCAGAGCTGGTATCGCCTTATCAGGCAGAGGCCGTCCATCGATGCTTGGCAGCTGGCCTGAAGGAGTGTCCCCAGACACTTGGTGGCAAGGTCGTATATAATCAGGAATACGCAAGCTTTTGACATATGAGCAGAAACACTATATGACTTTATGTATATACGTAGAAAGACACATGTATGTAAGCATGAATGTTAACAGAAATATAGAGATGATATAAGGCTCTGGCAGCTTCACAAGACCTCCTGCATGAGGTTGTGAAGTTTCCCCAGCCAAGGTTTACAAAGGCCGAGTCGCTCCGCATCATGGAACTGCTCGATGAAATTGAGAAAGGCATTGTAGATCCCTGCCGATGATGGCGAGCGCTGCCAGCGTGAGCAAAGTGCGCATTTCTGTAAAGATTTGTTGCCGAAATTTATCCCCGCCGCTTGCGCACCTACGCCTGGCCGCAGGTTGGCATCTTAGCGACCATGTAATCCAGAGACACTTCCCCTGCCTGTTCTCAGCCACTTTGCTGACAAAGACTCGAAACGGCATTCTGTGGAGGAAGAAAGAGCCTTGCTCTTTTTCTGTGGGGCAGTGTGCATTTGCATGGCCGGAGCAGAGGAGCTCCGAACAGGAGCCAGGAGTTCCTGCACCCTAAAGCCTACAGTCCTAAGCCTCTCAAGCCCTAAGCCTAAACCCCTAAAGCTCTGAACCCCCCGAAACCTAAAACCCTGAACCCTCCAAAACCCCCCCCAAAGAAGCCCTAAAGCCCTGAAGCCTAAACCCTAAACCCTAGACCCTCAATCCCAAACCCTCCCCTAAAGCCGTGAAGCCTCAAACCCTCCAGGCTCAGCAAGCAAGCACAGGAGCCGCCGATCGGCCACACGCGCAGGCCAGGGCTCCGGGTTCCAAGGTTTCCTAGACCCTAACCCAGAGAACCCAATACCCCCTTAATTAAGGAATAGGGTTTTTGGGGTTCCTTTAAGGGATCTATAGGGCTCTAAAAGGGTTTAGGGTTTAGAGTTAATTAAGGAATTATACCTTAAATCATAAACTTAGGGCCCCTATAATTTAAGATATATTCCTTAACTAAGGTATATTGGGTTCTCTGGGAATCTACTGTTGATGATAAAAATCCTGCATTACGTTAAGGACCCTAAACTATGGGGAATTACGGTTGATGGTAATCCTGCATGATCCATAATAAGGAATATACCATAATTCCCATAGTTTAGGGTCCTTCAGGTAATGCAGGATTTATTTCATCAACCGTATGGCTCCTTCAGGTAATGCAGGATTTATATCATCAACCGTATGGCATATTCCCTAAACCCTAAACCCAAAACCCCTAAATCCCTAAACCCCAAGTGAGTGCAGCTAAGAAGCCGACCTGAAGCGTCCACGCTGTTTGCGAGGTCTTCGCGGTTCGGATTCCGGCCCCGACCTGAGCGATGGGCGAAACGTCCTAAGCCCTGAACCCCAAGCCGTAAACCCCTAAATTCCTAAGGTTTAGGGTTTAGGGTTTGGGTTCTTGTTAAGGGATTTTGTTTAAGTTACCATAATGGTGATCTATAATACATATAGTATGGTTTCTTTATTAATATTATGGTAACATAAATTAACTCCCCTAACAAGAGCCCAGTAAGCCCTAAACCCTAAACCCTAAGCCCTAAGCCCTGAACCCCAAGGTTTAGGATTTACGGTTTGGGGGATTTGAAAGGGTATTCAGGATTTAGGGGTATGTAGGGTTTAGGATTGAAGGGTATTAGGAAGCCCCCAAGCCCTAAACCCTAAACCCTAAGACCCTAAACCCTAAACCCTTAGCTCTAAATCCTCAATCCTAAACCCTAAACCCTAAGCCCTAAGCCCTAAGCCCTAAACCCCAAGCGCGAAGCCTTAAACGCAAAGCTATCCAGCGTCGACCTTGGTTCTCCTTCGCTCTCAGGAATTTGCTCTTTGCGGCCACCCCACAGTCCCTTGGCAAGGGTTTAGGGTTGGTTGACAACCCAGAGAACCCAATATACCTTCATTATAAAAGATACCTTAAGTTATAGGGCCCTCAATATTATGATTTAAGGTATATTCCTTAGTTAAGGGGTATTGGGTTCTCTGGGAATGACACGTGCGCGGTTTCCACAAGCTTGGTGCCTGGCTGAGGCACGCGCGGCTGTGAGGCTGGCGTGGCCCGCAGTGGGATGTGTCAACTGGGGTCCAAGCGCGAGGCAAGGTACGACAAGGTATGGCGAGTTCCAATAGTCAACATAGCTTAATATGATACAATTCCTACAGCATAAGTAGTATAGCTATATGCTACATACAATATAGTATTCTATGGTAGAAGCTGTCGAGCTTTTTTCCCCAGAAGAGACGGTCCGACGCAAGGCCTATACGCAGATAAGGCCCTCTCTAAGTTTCAGGAGTGCATGTTCCTCGGTTTAACAGCCTCGATTGAGCTTGGCTGAGTAGCACAGGCGCGGCAGAGACTCCTGCATTGCGGCTTCAATGTTAAACTCTCTTCTTTTCCACGATGTGGTTTGCGCCTGTGCTTTGTTGAAGTAGAAGTGTGCCGCTAGCTTATCGAAGCCGATCCTGCATCTTCCACGACTGCGTCGTTACATCCGCCACTTCTCGGCGGAGTCTGCCAGAGTCTTAAGTGCCAGGCAGCCATGACAGCTTTGCTGCGTCAGTCCATGACTGCAGCCCGAAAACACCGAAAGAATATCGCGAACGACGGTCCACAACGGACATTCTCATTGTCATGATGACTGCTGTTATTGCTATGACTAGTATTGTTCTCATTGTTGCTATTACTACTATCATCATCAGCATTGTTGCTGTTATTCTCATTCTTCTCTTCTTGCAGCTATCGTAAACCCTAAACCCTAAACCCTAAACCCCTAAACCCTAAACCCTAAACCCTAAACCCTAAACCCTGAATCCTTGGAGCTCAGAGCCCGGATTCCAAGCGCAGAGAGCCGGGGGCCCTTTGGGGGATTCCTCTGATCCGGGGCCTGGAGACCGGCAATCCAGCTGACCAGACCCAGGGTAGTGGAATTCAATGTAAAAAGGGTTTAGGGTTTACGGGTTAGGGTTTAGGGTTTAGGGTTTAGGGTTTAGGGTTTAGGGTTTAGGGTTTAGGGAGGTAGCAACAAAAACCCGCCCAGCGCCCTCCAGGTTTAGCGTCCCTTGGATAGGTCCCTACGGTCGATGATCTCAATCCTGCATGACCCATAATAAGGAATATGCCGTAATTCCGATAGTTTAGGGTCCTTAAGGTAATGCAGGATTTATATCATCAACAGTAGTGTTGTTGAAAGAGTGTGGAGGAGAGGCCGAGCGAGCGGCCTGGTGAAGATTTCGGCTCTCGGCGAGCCTTCCTGCTTTGACACGCCCGGGTGCCTTTTGCGGCACTCTGCACATGGCCTTCTCAATTTTTTGAAACTTGGCTTCTCAGCCACCTCGGGTGACTGGTAGCATTCAGTGCAAACGGGGAGTTACAGTCGCTGTACCCTAAACCCTAAACCCTGAACCCTAAACCCCTAAGCTCTTAACACTAATGTTGCTCGAGGTTGGAGTAGAGAGCCTGACAGAGACAGTCGAGGCAGGTAACGGCCCGGCTGCTAAAGTCATCAGGGCCACCCTTTCACAAAGTTGCAAGGCGTGTGCAGGACTCCCTCAGCTCATGGCAGTGTGGAAGTTACCATAATCAGAACTGCCCGTCAGAAGGTTTAGGGTTTAGGGCTTAGGCACAAGGAAGCCCGGGGCCATCTTTCCCTTCTGCTATGTCCTACACTGCCTCCTCCTTTCTCCCCGCAACGTGGGGAGAACCAGCGCGCGGGCCGCGAAGCGACCGGGTCTTCTCGCCCAGGGTTGCCTTCGCTCTCGCGGCGATGTACAGCGGTAGCGCTCCACTTCCCTTAGTGTCGGACGATCGCGAGCTCGGTTGCGCGTTGTAATTAAGGCATCGTTTAAGTTTGGGATTCAGAATATCCCAGAATGACTGATGCGGGGAGTGAGTTTTGAGATATCTGGTAGAGCGCAGAGGGCACATGATGCGGATTTGGCGATCCTTTTGCAGCCCTCAGCGATACAGCCTGATCCAGTGGAATGAGCAAACATCGAGTGCCAGGCAGAATCTCAGGGCTTGCACAGTTCCTAGAGACTCCAAAGACCCGAATTAAGGAACATATCCTTAAATCATATTAGGGATCCTATTCTCATTTAAGGTGTATTCCTTGGTTCAGGGGTGTTGGAGTTTTAAACCCTAAACCCTGAACACTTAACAATCCCTTATAGTTCATGGACCCCTTTATTAAAGGAACCAAGGAACCCTTAAATTAACCCTCAAAGATCCCGTATAGTAGCCTTAAGGACCCGTTTGAAGGAACCCTTACCCTTAAAGATCCCTTATAGTAGCCTTATGGACCCCTTTTGATGAACCCTGAACCCTAAACCCTAAACCGTTTAATTGACGCCACCCATGCTGGAAAGCGAGGACAAAGCTCGCGTGACTGCGCGCGGCACCGAGAAGGAGGCTGGCTGTGACTGCGCTGGGAGGTTTTGTAGCCATTATTACTACTATAACTATACCAACTATTGTTATGTTAATTCATAGGGACACGTAGGGGGGGTAGGGGGAGGGGGGTCGGGGACTATACTTCCTTAAACAAGCCTTATTAGGCCCCTACCGCCCTCCCCCCTACCCCCCTAAGGGTCACTATGATTAATACTATTGTTGTTACAATTACCATTATGGTTCTTGTTATGATGATTATTATTATCTTATCATTCCTACTTGTTGATTGTTGTTCATTGATATTGTTGTTACTATTACTAGTATTGCTTTAGTACTCGTATTATGATTATTCTTACTGTTGTTCCTATTCTTATTGTCATGGTACTTTCGCACTCTTCGCAGGTCGCCAAGTGCAAGCAGACTGTGGTTAGGGCCTCAGCGGAGCTTTGCCACATAGCTTTGCCAGATGAATCGCTGCCCGACGTGTGCCGTTTAGGGTTTAGGGTTTAGGAGTCTACTGTTCAGGTACCCTAAACCATAGACCCTAAGATGCCTGTGCACTGCCCAGAAAGCGGTCGTCGATGGCGCTTTGTCCCTGGCCACGCGCGGCACTCAAAGCAATTCAAGCGTCCAGCCGACTGCATCCGGGCTATGAAGCTGGGTTCCTTAAGGGGATCTCTAATCTATAAGGGTTTCTACAAGGGTACTATAATAAGGATTCTAGATGGGTGGAACAGGTGTGGTACTTTATCCGAGTAGCAGGTGGGTAGCTCTCGAAATCAGGTTCCTTTGCGGGGTCCTTTTTATAAGGATTCGCGCATTCTTTTTGGGTGCCCAAAACGGGACCCTAGTCTA